TTTTTTTTTTTTGTGAAATTTTTTTTGCACTTGTTTATTTTATCCTTTTCCAGAAATAATATTGGATGAGGGAGAGCGTTTAACAACAAATTTTGCTTCATCCCGCTCACTTGCTGTGTTTACGGCAGCTGGAGGTAATGTAACGTGTCCGGCTCCTTGTGCTGCGTACGAAACTTGTGACGACTGTTTTAAAGGGCAGTGTATGTGGTGTCCTACAGTGCGTAAATGTATTGCATTGGATACATATCTTATAAATTTCCCGTATGGTCAGTGTCAAACCTGGATAACCAGCAATACTTATGCAAGCCGCAGGAATGTTTGTCAGCAGGGTAAGTGTTGGACAGTTGGCGATCTTTCTATTATTTTTTTTTTTACTTCTGTTCAACTTTTCCTTTTAGATCCGTCTGATTGTTCGAAACAAAAGACTTGCTTGGATTGTCTGGGTATTAGTCCTGGTTGTGGGTGGTGTGATGATGGTTCTGGGACAGGTATTGGCGAGTGCATTCCTGGCAGTGCAACTGGTCCTAATAATGCTAGTTTATGTCCTGATAGATCCTGGTTTTTTACAAACTGTTCGGGTTAGCAACCTCTTCTTTAGCCATTTATTATAGTTTATGAATTATTATTGTCTTTATTATATTTTGAGTGGCTATTTGTATGTTTCTAGGTTGTCAGTGCAATGGGCACAGCAACTGTACATCTACACCGCCTTTCAAGTTACTTAACTTTTCTGATCAGGTGTGTGTTCAGTGTGATCATAATACTTGTGGCGATCATTGTCAGTTTTGCGCAGACGGATTTTTTGGTGATCCGCGTAATGGAGGGACATGCGAAAGTCGGTTTATCTGTGCCAGACAACTATACAGATTTTGTTTTTTGCTTGTAACTTTGAAGAGTTAAAAGCATTTTTTTTGTTTTTTTTTACTTTTTTATTTTTCCAGATGTTTCATATTTTCTTTTTTACTAACTCTACTTTAGGTTGTCAATGCAATAACCAAGCGACTTCTTGTGATAGGGAGACAGGAGACTGCTACTGTTTTACCAAAGGAGTAGTTGAGAAAAACTGCAGTCAGTGTGATGGTAATTATGTGGGCGATCCAGCAAATGGTCAACCGTGTTTCTGTAAGTGCCATTTGATGTAGAGCTTACATTATTTTGTTGAACGGGGTAACTGAAAGGTGGTCTTTCAATGCAGGCTCGCGCAGAAGGGGCAGAGCTAAAATGGTGTTTTTTTAAGGTAATAATTGGTAAAGTTTTTGAGCATTTTGAAGCTGATCTTTCGACGTAAAGTTTGCCGCTGCTCACCTATTTAGTATTTGGTCGGCAGCGAAAGGAAAAGTTTACGTTCATTTAAGCATAGAATTGCAAGGAATCAGTTTTTCATGAAATGACGAAAATCTTTACTGAGTCTGAGGAATGGAATTATAATTTGTAAATTTTTCAGTGAAATAATTCTTTACATTTAACTTACGTCAGAAAACTTTTTGGGAGAGTATCACGCACAGTTCTGCTACATTTTCTTTGCATTTAACAAGTCTTGACAATTTTTCAAAGTCTTGCGTCTTGCATAAGGCACATATGAGTGACTCTTCATTTTTTGAAACCTCTTCGTTGTACTTTATTCCTGCCGCATTCTCCTATGCAACTGAAGGAGATACTTCTATGTATTTCAATTCTTGAAAAGTTGCCTTTGCTACGACGAAAATGACTTTTAGTGAAAGATGATTTCAAAATTCATTGTCATTTCGTGGAATAAGATTGGTTATGTAGTTCCTATTGTTCCAAAAAAGTTGAGCCTAGGCTTTTTATCGTATAAGGGATTTGTTATTTCAGAGCAAGTTAAGGTTAGGTTTTAAATTGGAAAATTGAGTTCAAATTGTCGTAGGGAGTTTCGGTTTGGTTTGTATAAGTTCGTTTTGACTCCGAATTGAAGCGTAGAAAACTTATCTATTGTTAAAGCGTTGAGAAGAAATGCTATTTCTAGATGAGCTTGCAGTCGATTTTATATTTACTTTCAATTTGGACAACAATGATCCGAACGACCAGTATGTAACGCAGATAAACTTCTACAGTGTACCGCATAAAGTTTGTTCATTCTCCAGCCATATTTTTCTGCTTTCTTAATTTATCAATTTTCCTATCTTTTGTGAAGGTTAATTGCTTATAACCTTTTTTTTACAGCGCGATACGGATGTAACATTTACCATCAGTTGTGAGACATTGAAACCGTACAAAGCGTATGTGTCAGTTTCATTGAACTCGTCACGAGAAGCCACCAAGCATTTGATGGCTAATCAGCTGTGTGACGAGAACTCCTTACGTCGTACTTACAGTGCAAATTCTGAACCTGCCTACGAGTTTGGTACTAGTGCGAATACTACATTTTTGGTGAGGATTTGTTTACGTTTCACTTGTTAGAGCTTCTCATTGTATTTGAGACAAGGTTTTATTGAAGTTATGAAATTTCAAAGCCTGCATTGAAATTCACTTGTTTTATAAATTGGGTTATCATTTAATGCCTTATCTAGCATATAATTTTGGTGTCAATGGTTAGGAGTTTAAATGTTGAAAAAGTCGGCAGAATAATAACGTCATCAAAATCGGGATTCAGTGAGAAGCAATTTCACATTGTTTTGCTATTTAGGGTAAATGGAACATTGTTATACTTTTATTCAAAGAATATAGCTTGTTTTTTACCTGTACTGCTGCTTTTACACGGATCTTTTTGAGAAGAAGCTCTCACTGCATTTTTGATTCTCGTCTAACTCCATTTTTTTTTTAAATTACAGGTTACAGTGCAAGGCTTCCGGACTCCCATTAAAATTGTGATCTCATTTTCGCAATCCCCACCCATCAACTGGGTTTTGTTCTTTGTTATTTTTGCTGCGTAAGTTCTTAAGCTTTTTGTGAAAAACTACACCAAATCATTGAGGGGTTTTATTGCAATTTTTATCAAATTTCATTTTTGAAAACTGAAAACGAGGAGCTTTTTAGGTGTTTTGTGATATTATTAGTAGTCGCAGGACTTATGTGGATGATAAAACTTCGCATCGAGGTGTATCGGAGGAACCAGAGGCATTATAATGAAATAGAGCAGTGGGCTTCTCGACCTTTTGCATCTGTTCGACTTGAACTTGTTTCTCCTCGGGCGAATTTTGTTAGTTTTGAAAGAAATTTGAAAGTCATTAAATATTAAATTTTTTTTTGAAGTGAAGTGAATTTTTCAAAAAATTTGGCCATCGAAGTTCTTTCGTATTTTTTTCTGCATTAATAGGTGTTGTTAATTCAGATGGCCACGCCAATATCTGTGGAACCATGCAACAATTATCGGGCTGGTGTATTTACTTTGGCTGTACGGCTTCCCACAGGTGGACGGCAGTTCACACCGCACGGAACATCAGGGTTAGCAGTGGCTTCTGCTATGTGTTTGCTAACTCCAGCACAGCTAGGAGTTTTGCAAGCACCGGAGAATAAAGATGCTCAGCATAATCGTAAAACCACAATTATGCGTTACATCCCATTCATTCGTGCTTCCTAGCATAAACTGTTTGTGATTTTAAGAAATGTTGTATAAGGAGAGCTGGGCTCTTTGTATCGTGTCTACTGTGTTCGCAATGGTCATCTTTTCTGTTCATTCTTTGAAATTCGGGAGACGTTGCTCAGTTTTGTTATAGTTTTTG